CCAAATTTCGTCATAGGTGGGATTTGAACCTTAGACCTGCCACTTGGAGGATGACAATCCAACCACTACACTAGGATTGCCATCTTCATAAAGAGATTTAATATTTATTTAAGATGATTATAATTATTATTAAAGTCTTCTATTATAATTATATGCCAATTATAGCTTCTTGCTTGTGATAACTAATTGTTGACTATGTTTTGCATAGTTTTAAGTTGTTCTGAATGATTTGATGGAAGATATACAGAGATAAGATGAAGCTTATTGTTTGAAGGTAAATGAAAGTCAATGCTTATTGCTATGCCTGCTACTGTTTGTATATTAAATATGTAAGGTTGAAGTTTGTGATAAAGCATAATTGCAGTCCTCATACTAGCTTCACATTGAAAATTATTTTTTGGTTCGAAATTAGATATATAGATTTTGTAGAGTAGATTGGAAAGTGTTGAAACATTAGAATTTTTGAGTTTGGTTTCTGTGATTGAGATAATATAATAATTATTTTTGACACAATATTCTAACCAAATCTGTAGTTTTAGTAGCTTGTTAAGTTTCTGTACATTGTAAGTTACAATATTAAGATAGTTCTTAATATCTATAAAGCTTTCATTAGGAAGAGTTTGTAGTGTATTAATAGAGTTATCATTGTTTAATTTAAAAGATGATGTGTTTTGTTTTTGAGATATTAAGGTTGAGCTATTATTTTTTTTTATTGTTGTTATTTACTTTGCATATAGGTAAAATATTCACCAGTTAGGTTCTGAGAAAGGTAGAAGTGTGAGAAGAAATTCAAAAATTTTTTTTATAGTATAGTGTTCTCTTAAAGTTTTTAGTGTTTCAGTTGCTTTGTTTTGTTGGATAATAGGTAGGTCTATATTTGTCATTTCTATGTTTTTTATATTCATTTCTTCTTGTATTTTCTCGATTAAGTCTGGAATTTTAGGCTTTTGGTCTGGTAATATATCAGAACTGATGTCTCATAAGTGTGCACTATTGGTTATTTGGATTCAGCTGTCTGGAATTTTTTGAAATTAGTATGTTTGTCTTAGCATTCATGCTATTTCTGTAAGTCTTTTAGATATATCAATTGGTAGGATTAGGTTGTAGTCTGTAATTTCAGAGAAGTTTATAGGTAGTCTGAGTTTGTTAGTTAGGTTTGCTATTATAATTGTTTTTGAAAAAAGTATAGTAAGCTTATAAGTGTTTTTAATTTCATTTATAAAGTTTTTTGCTATTGTGTCAACAGTAATCAGAAAGGAGTAAGTATTTGTAGTTTTGATTTTAAAAGGATTTTTTGAAAAATTTGGTTTTGCTTTAAAGTAATCATTTGGTATAACTTAAAAGGTGTAATGCTTTCTTAACCATGCTGTTATATCTTCTATGTCTACTAGAAGGTCTGCTCTATTGATTAGAAAGTATTGTCTAAGTTGTAGGTCTTCTATATCTTGATATGCTTATGGTAAAAAGAGTTTCATAAGAATAAATGATGGTAATTTAAAGTAATAACTAGGTATTTCTTTACAATCATAATAGTCTTAAAGTTGTTTTTTATAGTAGACTAGTCTTGTAAGTTCTTTTTTTTTGTGTAATTGGAAATAGGTTTTTTATTGCTTCATCTAAGTCTTCTAGGTTTGCTGGTAAGGGTAAAAGTTTGGTAAAATAGATTTCTGGAAGTTGTTCAAAAGAGTAAATTTTGTATAAAGCTGTAACAATTGTTCTTGTTTGTGATCTATGTTTAATTGGTAAAATAAAAAGAAGAATATTTCGTATTTCTTCTAAAATAAATTCTGATGATTCAGGTAATTTTGCTAAATATGATGTTAGAGCATTATTTAACACTTCTTGAATTGCTTCTGTATCTATTGCAGCTTTGTCTTTTGTAAAACTTTTATAGTATTTTAAAGCTTTGGCTATGTGTTTGGAAGATTGAGTTTTGAAGTTCAAGTTTGTTGTATAATCTATAATTAATTTCTGTCTTAGTTTCATGTGAATTAGATTTTAGGTGTCTCTGTTGGTAATGGTAATTGCATTTGTAGTTTTGTAATTTTTTAGTACTTTTGTAAACATTTGGTTGTATTCAGATTGGTGTGATAGACTGAATTTTTTGACATATATAAAGGTTGTAAAGAATGTTGGATTAGTATGTCTAAATTTTGCTTCAAATGCAGAAATGATTGGTCTTTTAGTTGGCTTTAATTATAGTTTATATATGATAAATATTTGCATCTTTTTTTTGGATCTGTATGCTTCAATTATGCTATCATATGACTATTTTTTATTGTTAAATGGCATAATAACTTTGGCCTCCAGGTTATCGTTTATTTGTTGAGTTTATGTTTCTGTATAGTCAGTTTTCATTTCTGTCATATCACTTACACTTGTATCTTTTTGAACCATTTGACTATATGTAGTTTTGTTGTTCATGTTTAATATTATGAAGTTGTTTGTTTGTTCTATTTCTGTGTCTATTTGGTTGCTTTGTTTTAGTTCTGTGGCTTGGTTGCTATTTGCTATTGCTTCATAGAGGTTTTGCAATTCAATTGGCATAGGTTCTATGTTGTGTTGATCAACTTTTTCTATATCTGATGTTTGATTCTGCAATATAGTTGTTTGATTTCTTTTTATAGCTATATGAGCTTATGTATTGTGCATAATGATTACTATGTTATTTTTTTTCCCATAATATTTGTTGTATTATTGTTGTTGTCAGTTTGTGTTGTGTTGTTATGCTAGTTTGCTTGAGATAATGTCATCACTTGTTTTATAAGAGATATACTATATCACTCACTTTTGTTGCTAACTAGAATTTGAGAAAGAACAGTACATCATTTTTTATTATATACATCTTTGTAAGTAGTATCTAGATTGATACAATGTTGTTGCTGTCTAATAGAGTATTTGTGATTGCTATTTATTATATCTGGCATTTTTGTTTTGAAACTTTGCAATACTACTGGCCTTGATAGTCTTAGTTTGCTTTTCTGGTTAAAAGTATTAAATTTTCTCTTTTTACTTTTGTCTTGTATAGTTAAAGTAATTGTATCTTTGCTTTATATCTTGTATAAGTAATTTTTTTACCCAGAGTAAGCTTTTTATTTAGATCTTCTTCTATTATATCTACTATTTTTCTATTTTTTTATTTTTTGTCTCTGCTGATTTTTATGTTTTGAGATCTGCAAGAGAGAGTTCTTTTGTTTATATTTGTACATAATTGTTTATTTGTTTTTTTATATGCTTATATGTTTTAAACCAATTTGCAATTTCAAGTTTATACTATTTTTTAAAAATTTATTTTTCAATCAAGTTTGTTATTTTTTTGCTTACTGTTTGGTTTTTTTTCTTTTACTAATACATCTGTTAAATCTATTTCAAAAACTTCTTCTGTTTTGCTAAGCTTTTGAATATTATTTTAATACTAATTTTTTTGTAAACTTTGATTTTGTTTCTGCTAATTTTTGTTTTTTGGTAATTAGCAGAAAGAGTTATTCATCTGTTCAATTTAATATAGAAAATTTATAAAATTTATATTAATAATAATATCTGAATCTTATAAGCACAATCAATAACAGAAAAAATTTATATATTTTGTACAATTATGCTTTTAGAATTCTACTAAAAAGTGTTAAAATAAAATTACTTGCTCAAATTTTTTTAACCAAACTTGGTTTAATAGTTTATATTTTCTTACTTATTTGATTCCATATTATCAAAAATAATATAACAAGTATTTAAATAATCATATAAGGTCCTCATAAAAAAGAACTTTAAAAAGAAATAAAATAGTTTATGAAAAAAGAATATTAACAATAAATATTTTACTAATAATGAAAACCGAATATGTTCTTGTTTGGGTTTTTTAAACAACTAATTTTTTCTTTGCAAACAATTAATTATTTACAATTTATTAATATTCAAAATACTTAGAAAAATCATAATAAATATGATGTTCATTGAATTATTCGAAATAAATAAAATTATTAAGTCTAAATTTTGATTGTATTTTTTTTAAGTTACATGAATTTTTAGTACTCGATATATTTGTCACGTGATGTTAGAAGGGAACGTGAAACACAAAAATTTTTTTACAATATTTGATCAGTCAAGTATTGTAAATCATGTAACATCAACGTTCCCTCTCATACTGCAAAAAGAATAGATTTTGTGTAATAATCATTATTATTATTTTAACCAATCAGATGAATGTCTTCCTAATCATTCTACGCAGCGCTAGGTGATGTACACCGAGAAAGATATAATTTTTCACGCCTTTACGTTCTTATACATTATAAAGCAATAGGAATGTTTGATTCAGAAGACGATTGTCAGATACAACAAGAAAATGAGATAATGGCCATCAAGGTAAATAATGCTCCTGCATTTATTTGTTTATAAAGTAATAGTAATGATCATACGTAGTTCAAGCTCATTGGGTGTGCTGTCCAACTTGGAACCTCACATTGCATAAGGCAATTTACGAACAAGATTTCACATATACAGAAAACACGAAACCTCCAAGATTTAGAGGTGCTCTTTCGATTAAAATCTCTCTTCCTCAAGAAAATTTGATATTTTTTACTGGAGGAAGAAATGGTGGCGGCGATCCTCCGCTTAAAGTTCGGTACCTCCCTCCAGTAAAAATCATATTTTCAATGCCAAGTGATTATCCAAGCCAAGAAGCGTTGGAATTCGACCTTGAATGTCTTTGGATGCGTTGGGATTGGTTGAGAAAATTAGAAAGAAAATTGTTACAAATTTGGAAAGAAAAAAAGGATGTGGTATGTCTAATGATTTTTTTTTATTCCAATCATTTGACATTTAATTATATTATGATGTAGCTATTACTTTCTTGGTAGGTCTTAGATCATTTTGCAGAATTCATACAGCATGAAGCTTTAGACTACTTACAATTATCATTCCCTTTGAGGCTTAATGATGGTTCGCAACTTTTTTATTCTTTTCTTGTTTCGTTTATCCCTTGTCTGTGTGCGATGATTTTATAAAACCATCAATTCCATTAGATTATATCGGTGGATCCATGCTAAAAACAATTATACACACATATAATCAACAAGCCATGAACCTAGACTTTGTCAATGATCATTTTAATTGTGGCATTTGTCTTGAGGAGAAACGTGGTGAACGATGTTTTCAACTTCGTACATGCCAACATGTGTTTTGTCAGGAATGCCTTCGTGAATATTTTGTAATGCTCATTCGAGAAGGGTTCATTTTACAAATAAAATGTCCTGACCCTGGTTGTAAATCGCAACATAAATTGGCAGATGATGAAGTGACAGAAATAGTTGGGACTGAAATGGGGAAAAGATATTCAAATCTATTAGAAAAGCAGAAGTTAGAGACCGATCCTTTAGTGACCTTTTGCCCCCGTGTAATTTGTCAAGCACCCGTTAAAAAGGATTCCAATTTTGAAAAGCTTTGTATATGTACGAAATGTACGTTTGCTTTCTGTTGGATTTGTCAACGAACTTGGTGAGTGACTTAGATTATCAATTCATATCCTTACCATATACACATATTGAACGATACTGACACAAAATTATAATGAAAAAGGCATGGGGCTAGTACTCCTTGTCATATGGACAATATTAAAAAGATAGTCGAAGAATATATGAAAGCTGACGAGTCCACTAAAGCGATAATGGAGCTTCGTTATGGCAAAAAAAACTTAGAGAAGTTGGTTCGTGATGCTAATGCTGAACTAGAGACGAGCAAATGGGTGAAATCTAATACTCAACCATGCCCGCAATGTGAGACTCCCATTGAAAAGTCAATGGGGTGTAATCATATGCTATGCACACGTTGCGAAACGCATTTTTGTTACTTATGTGGAAATTGGATAGATCCTAAAGAACCTTATCAGCATTTCAATGATTCCAAATCTCCATGCAATCGACGATTGTTTGATGGAGTGAATGTGGACGATTTTGATATACCAGATGATTTTGTTATTATTTGATTTAATATCATTTAATGAGTATTTTTAACTGTAAAATAATTTATGAAGTTGTATCGGAAAGGTAAGTTTTTATGTGTTGTAATTATGTGCATTGCCGTCGGGTCCATCTATTTGTATTTTGCACTGTCTGAATCTCATTATTTTATATTATCAGATTTTCCTTCTATATAGAAAGAGATATAGTAATTCTTCAAGGAAAAAAAAAAAAAAAAAAAATCCCTTGCAAAACACTGAATCTCGTTAGAAAGATATAATTATTATCAGATGAAATTTATTTATTTTTTAGTATTATATTGTTCAATCAATAACTATTTCATCACCAACCCAAATAACGAACACTGAGGACCCGATAAAATACATGATAGCTGCAAACGTCCAAACAATGTTCCATTGGTTTCCCGAAATATCTAAAATCCATCCTGTCAATGCTACGCCAAATATAGCTGGAATAACGCCCAGTGTATTTCCTAACCCAAATATGATGCCCGCATAGCGAGGTGCAATATCCAACTAATTAACATTTTTAATTGTAAAAAGTTAATTAGAATAAAAAAACATCGAATTCGATAATGAAATGAATATGTGTTTACCTGAGAAACAGATACTCCAGCAATGGTGAAAGAATTTAATCCTAATCCAATTGTTATTAAGATAATTCCTTGCAATGGAGTGCTTGCTAAATATACCGCCTATTTGTCGGTATATTGTATTGTATAAATAAAAGCGAATAAGTAATAAATAATTTGAATTATAAATTTATTTAATGATGTAAATTTCGTTTTTACGTTACCAATAAAAGGAATATCGCCACACCAAAACTACCAATCAATTGAGCTGTCCTTCTTACATTTATCACACGAAATTTCATTTTGTATATCATGTAATCAGCCATTATACCAACGAATAATCCAGTTATCCCCTGCACTGCATAGGGTAGAACTAAATAATGAAGGCTGATGAATATACAATTCAACATGAAGATAGTATTAATCTTGTTTATTACCGAAGAAATATCCTAGTTTTTTTATGTCTACTTTATAATGTTCTAAATAATAAATCGGTAACCAGTTCATCATAATGAAATATCCCCAGGAGTTACAAAATTGAGAAATAAGAATAGCCCATACTTCTCGTTGAGAGAGAATTTGTCGCCATGGTATAGGCTTAGTCGATTTTAAATTTCTTTGAATAGGATATGTTGCGCAAGTTTCCCGTAAAAAAGAGGAGGATGCAGCACAGTCCTCCTCAATTAATCCGACATCATTTATATCATTTACTTCATTGTCGTCGTCTTCAGACTGTATCATATGATAATCAATATCAGCAAAGTCATATTTCATATTATCCTCTAAAATCCAATTAATTTCCTCTTCTTTTATCCCAGAATACTCTAATGGGTTGTTTCCACCAAAGATCTGCCACGTTAAAGACCAAATAATACCTGTTGCTCCAAACGCCCAAAAGATGCTTTCCCATCCACCAATAGATTCTATAAATGTAGATAAGGGCATAGCAAGTACAATTCCTATGGAACACGAAACCGTGACAACTGCAATTGCCTAGAAAACTAAAGAATTAAGTTGCCTTTTATAAAGTAGTCATGAGAAATTAACTTAAATCCTTACTGTTGAGCGTTCATCAACTCGGACCCATGATGCAATTAAGGAGTGGATACTTGGGAGGCATATTCCTTCACCGATACCAAGGCAAATTCGACACAATATGAGATAAATAAAGCCAGATTTTGCGGCAACCGGAGTTAAAAGAGTAAAAATTGTCCAACATGCAGCAGCTAAATGCCAACATAAAAAAAAAAATTGAGATGATTGCATTCGTGTATTTTGCAAAAATACGAACCCTAACTCTATCCTTCCTCTACATGAACATTCTCTTTTCACTCCTACACCATATTCAATTTAATATTGACAACAACACGCATTGTCTGAGCTAGGAAAATATCACTATCAAAATATTCTTGGCACAATTTAATTGAATCATTAATTTCTCTTATTAAACACCACGAATTTATAAATAAATAAATTTCTATCATTCTTCTCACCTCCGCCAAGTACTTGTTTGCTTCCAAATTTGTCAGCAAGTGTTCCTCCCAAAACTTGCGTCACTATGTAACCAACAAAAAATGAGGATAGTACTAGTCCTTGTTTAGCAAAAGGCCAACCAAATTCACGAGAAATAAAGACTATAGCAACAGCCATGTTTGAACGGTCTTGATATAGATGTTTATTTTGTTAAGCTTACAGAATAAAAACCGATGAAAGTGTCCCCTGTACGTTACCTGCATAACTAATGATAACACCAATAGAGCATAATCCTATTACTATAATTCGCTTTGGAATCTTTTGCCACCACATCGTATAATCCGCACTCTATTCGCGGCATCACGGGCAATATACTTCTATCACGTGTGCTGACGCGTAATCATCTATATTCTGTCGATGATAGTACTACCGTTGTACTACCCATATGATCACAATTCACTAGAAGTTGATTGAAGTTTTTAGTTTAAATCAAACAAAGGAGCAAACCGAGTATAAAACATATAAAAAGTATAGGTGGAGCTCCATACATAGCAAAAGTCAAAACAGCCAGCTGCTTAACAACACTATTTTGGCTGTCCTTATTGTAGAGTTTGCCGTTCTCTAAACTGTCCTTTTTTTTTCTTAGTAGTCTACAGATAATTCCATATTCTCAAGCCCGTCGCCTCATCTACCTGCTAAATACCAATCACCTTATTTGTTTTAATCTAACTAAAATGGAGGACAACGCTTCTAAGATTCCAGAGCTATGCGTCAATTTCGGTTGTAGGTTCTACGGGTAGGCTGTCTACGGAAATTAAATTATAAATTAAGACTCAGAGATGATTTTAGCGTTGCGTATACTGAGTTAGTGACTTCGCTTTTAAATTAACGTCCATACGTCTGTTACATATAATTCGTTTATCAAAAACTAGGCATCCGATCTACAACCACATGTGCTCTAAATGCTTCAAAGAATGCAATGCAAATGCAAAGAGCAGCCAAAGTGGTAAGTTATATTCCAGAAAGTTTTATTTTGTATTCAAATCTCTAGTTAATATGCACATTACAAAATTATTATTTCAAGTTGAAAAATCTATAGAACCTGCAATGCTTCCTGCAGCATCAACACATCAACTAACCTCAACCACAGCTACAAACGAACACCAAGGTTCTATTTCACAAAATTCCACTTCTGTGGAAATTCTTCAGACGAATTCCCTCGAAAGTGGTGCGAGTGCCCCTATTCCAGCTGCAACTCAAGAGAATATACAAGTGCGACCTGCCCAAACGAACCAATCGCGTTGTTTTAAATGTAGAGCTAAAATTCCTTTGGCTAAGCAAACCATCAATAAATGCCGTTGCGGTATGTATGCTGATAATATATATATTTATATTTTTTGGTTACATTCTAATTCATAATTTATGTTACTCTAGAATATGTTTACTGTGACAATCACAAAATTCCAGACAAGCATGATTGCGATTTCGATTTTGCAAAGATGGGTAAGGACATCTTGGCAAAAAATAATCCCAAATTGAATGAAGTGCATAAAGGAGGCCGTTCGTTTAACAGAATTGATTAAAGCAATAGTTATAGAATAATATATGGCGATCTTTTGAAAAAATGGGATTTATATACACTCTAGATAAATGGTGGATTGGTTATAGCATGATTTGCTTTACGTTCTTATCATTGCGAAGCAACCTTAATTTCGCCTACGGACATTGTTTTCTAGTTCTGAGCCAATTCAATATTGTTTTTTGATTATATTATTATCGTCTTTTTTTGGCATGTATTAATTGGAAATTTAGAACTGAAAATGTTTGCTTTATAATATATATTCGATAAATAACCTATAAAAATACATTCGTGAGTAAGAGTCATGTTTGTATTTAACTCTTTTACCTAATAATTTTGTAGTTTTGAAGGTTTAGTGATTCTAACCGGTTAACCAATAATGATGTATCGTTAGATTGGATATCAAGAACTATAAACATTCAGTCGGTTAGAATCATGATTTATAAGAATTGTGTACGATATCATAATTGGTTGGTCTGTTTCTGCTTATAAGCAGGTTGTATGTCTATAATGATAACTATCAATATTATAAGAGTAGGTAATAAAAAGGTTCATGTTTTAGAATTAATATTCTACATCCTTGTTAGTTCTTGAGATTATCCCACAATAATATTTCACAGGATCATGATTTCTTGTAGATTCAAATGATCCGAAAATTTATCAGTCAACAGGATCTCTATGATCCCACTTTAATAATCAATTGATTAATAATACATTTTATTAACTGCAAGTGATCCAAATCACGATAGGTAAAAATTTTTTTTAAAAAAAACTTAAAAAAATAACAATTAATATATAATTAATAAAAAAACAATTTTCTACATGTAATCGTAAAGATCTAACGTTGCTGTAGAAATATCATTTTTAACCTAGTTTATTTCATGTATATATAATGATATGATTAACATTAATTAGAAAATGCTATCATAATGCATGTATATCAAAACACGCGGACAAATAAATAAACAGTGAAAATGTTCCTTTAATATTTCGTGTAACATATTTCACTATAAGAATGATTTATTTTTTTATGACGAGATAAAGTTTTATATCTAAAAAAACTTGTCAACTTTAATGAGCTAAAAATCATTTATTTAAACCTGCTAAAATGTTTGTAATATTATTACAATAGTAAAAAACTAATCTGCTTTAATAATACTTCAGAGTAAAAACCTTTATACAATTACACAATTTGTGTAATACGGATTGCGTAATTATAGAGGAGAAAGATATTACTAATAAATTAGAAATAATATTAAAATTTAAGTATTGAATTATTTTATAAACAGTATATATATTTAGTTTCTTTTCTTTAAGTGGTCCTGTTTTTATTTATTATAATAAGTAAATATATTAAACAAAAGTAAGTAAAACTTCATTGTTCAAGTTAATAAAACATATCTAATTATAAATAGTTTAAATATAATTTGTTAAACTATTTATTTAAATTATTAAGTTTTTAAATTTACTAAAACTATTTTAATGCTTATAACAAGTGGTTATTGGTTTTGTTAAAACCTTTGCTCTACAATAGAGTATTATTAACTTAATAATATCTTTTTGTAAAAAAATAAAAATAAAAAAAAATAAAAATAATAATAAATTTTATAAAAAAAAAACAAAAAAAACAATTATTAATATATAAAAAAGTTTAAAAATTAAATTATAAATCTATAAATCTATAAAAAGTTATAAAAAAAAAATTAATTAATTTTTATAACTTAGATTAAAATTTAAAAGCTGTTAATTATTTTTTTTGTTGATTTTTTTTTATTAAAAATAGATAAAATAAAAAGTTAGATTAGTTAAAAATAAACAAAAAATTTGGTTTAATATTTTTTAAAAAAAAAATATTAAAAAAAACTTATAGTTTATTAAAAGTTTTTTATTTTTTAATATATAAAGTTTTAAAAAAATTTTTTGATTGTTTTTTTAAAAAGTTTAAAAAAATTTAAAAAATTACTTAAGTTTTTGTAAAGTTAATTAAATTTGATTATACAAAATTATATAAACAATAAAATAAACAAACATTAAGTTAACTATTTTGAACAATAAATAAATATATTTCTAATTAATCTTGTTAACAATTTTCTTATTTAATACTATTAAGATCTATGATTTATATATAATATATTTCATCATTAATAAGAACTTTCTCAAAATTTAATTGCTAAAACTAAATATACAAATATTCTCTTTTTTATAATATTTACTATTACTAACAATTTTTTTTTTTTTTTTTTAAGGATTGATGTTTTTATTCATATATTTAGACATGAGTGCTTTTAGGAACTCCTTACATTAAAGATTATAACTAGCTATATATGCACTTTTGATGCCTAATTTAAATAGTCTGTATATATATTACTATATAGGTTTTATACTAGATGTCATATCTGCAAGCCAGTTATGAGTCTTCTTTATTTAAACTCTCTTCGTATGTAGTCCATCATGTTTCATAGTGATATCTTCAAGATTACACTTATTCAAAATATCTAATGTCTTCAAGACTTTTAGAACTAGTTTATCCTTAACAGAAAACTTATTAAAATCTTTTGTATTTTATATACAGCTGATCTAGTTTTATGTAACTTACTATAGTTATCTAATACTTGCAGTTATAAAAATTACCTGTTTAACTATTATGTTATATTATTTTTATTCTTATAAAGTTTACTAGAACTTCAGTACTTATTATTATAATATCTTCTTTTTTATTCTCTACTAACTACTATTCAGGATCAACAAAACTTATCTGATTTTTAATCCAAATAGCTCAGTATGATATACATATGTATCCTTTTCTTCTGATAATTCTGACAGTCTGGTTGCTTATGTGGATTGCTATTAATAAAAATTAAACAAATTTATATTTAAAAAAAATTAATATCTTAACTTTCATAACTTATATCTTGATGAGTTTTAAAGCTATCTTAATAGTTTATTATTTAAAAAAAGCTTAGATTATATGCTTTCTTTTAAATATTAAATCATCAAATATAGTTTTAAAATCTATCAAGATATAAGTTATAAAAATTAAGCTATTAATTTTTTTTTAAATATAAATTTGCTTGATTTTTATTAACAATAATCCATGTGTTTTTTTATACATTTTGTTATTCAGTTTATCTACCTATTTCTTTAAGAATGTTTTATAGATTTTTATTAGTCTAACTATACTGTCAAAAGTTTATACTATCTCTTTATTTAGGAATTTTCAAGTAAGCTTTTGACTCTTTAGTTTTTTAGTTTATTGTGCCTGGTAATCTTATTGTAAGTTTGTACTAAAGTCTTCTGTGATATTAGTTATATATTCCTTTATATATATATAATATTACATTTTATATAGATGCCTCAAGTTACTATTTAAGATAATGTAACTTAAAGTTACAGATACATCAATCTAACTGATTATTAAAAAATAGTTTGTCATAATACAGATATAATTTTCTAAATTTCATTATAAATAAAATTTGAACATTAAACCTATCACTTGAAAAATGACAACCTAATTACTACACTATAATCACTATTTTCTATTACTAACAATTCTTCAAACTCTATAGAATTTATTAATATTATACATTTTATTAACAAATAATTTTTATAAGATTTCTCTTTAATCATATATTTTATATAATATCTCGATTCTTATTGATTTTTTTTGATATTAAGGTAATTTTTTTGGTTTTTTAACTTTTATTAACAACTTTATTAGTAATATAATTTAGTAAACTACTACAGAAGAGTATACAATTGGCTATACATATAACTTTTTTATATTATTTATTTAAAAAGTTTGCTCAAAGGTTTTGTACCAATTACTTATTTAACATCTCTACTTGAATGTTCTACTTTAAACTCTTTGAATTTGCAATCTGTATTAACATTACTAGAGTATACTCAAATGCCTAGATTATTATCTAAATCTTAGAAATATTTTATTTTCAAAATAAATCACTTAAAGCCTTTTGTACCTATTTCTATAGCTAACTTAGTATTATTATGATAGAACTAATACTTGTAGTCAGAGTTATATAATTTAATTACTATATTTTTGTAAAGTTTATGCAGACCTCAGCATCTATTTCACAGTATAACTCTACTATTTTAGTATATATACTTTTGCCTTTTTATTTGTCTTTTTACTAGACTTTTAATTCAGATAGTCTATATAAAATTACAATCAGTCTATTAGTATATTGGGTTGGCTTAATATTCTTTTTCTTCAGTTTATTCTAATAGCCTGGTTGGTGGTATCTCTAAAACTTTCAACTTATAGGTTCTTACTCATCCAGATACTATAACTGAGTATTATAATTTTGATATTTGTTTTTTTAAACTAGTTTTTTCAGTAAGGTTATTAAAGATCTGACTACCTCTTTATTTAGGTTTTTTCAAATAGATTTCTTATTACTTAATTTTAACAAATTTATATAGCCACAAGGACTTATCTAGTATTTGCATTATCCAATTGTTAGTTTGCATTTTTTTGTATAATGTTATACTTATATAGATGCTCTATAACCTGTCAATCATGCTAATGCAACCACTATTACAGATATTCTAATTTAATTATTAGTAACAATTGACATAATACAAATTTTATATAAGTAATTATCTAAATTTTTGTTATTAATAGAATTTAAATACTTAATTTACTACTTAGAAATTGACAACTTAACTATTTTACTAGGTTACTATACCCATATCATGATTATCATTTGAGGTTTTTTTTAACTTATTCTAATTAGAAAATAATTTGAAATAATTATCTATAATATTTATAAGGAAATAAGAGGTATAATATCATATCAAGTGTCTTTTTAGTAACACAAATATAGTTTAGAAATCTTTATTTAGAAAATTTTTTTTATAATTAAATTTTTTATTATATCTTAAAGTTTTTATTATTATATTATATAAATAAAAAAAAGAACCAAATATTAAATTATATATTTTTCTAATCAATCAAATTTTTTTTCTTCTTAAACAGTCACATTA